AATTAACATCTATACCACAACATAAAAAGCGGATATAAAAAACTAACCAGATCAAATGGAGAGAACATATGTACATCTATGAATATTTGTATGTATATTTGTATGTATGTATGTATGTATGTATGTATGTATGTATGTATGTATGTATGTATGTATGTATGTATATATCTTGGAATGTTAGTTGTGTGCACGCACATACATATGAATGTACAACGCCTTGTACGAATCCGTAAAGAGCATATACATACATATGTATATATGCATACACATGTATTTAAATGTGTTTGTACATATGAATAGCTACATGTGGCTGCGTGTGTGTGTGTGCATGTAAGTTTGGTGAATTTTTGCAGTTTTTGGCTAGCAATCGAATTTCACTCCATCTACAAAAATGTGCTCCAGACGTACTGTCTCCACTACATTGACACTGTTAATATATGTGCGCGCGCCTGTATATGTGTGCGTTTGTAAGTGGCTGAGTGTGTGTATGTCAATAAATTCATACGCTAATGTACATGTACGAGTGTGTGTGTTTGTGTCCATGTGTGTGTGCCCACATGGGTATATATGTATGTGTGCAGAATTACTTGTAAACAAATTACCTGCAAGTTCTTGACGATGATGGATAGTATTTGATTTTAAAAGGATTAATAGTTACTCAATGGCTAAAGAAAACCAAGCTACTATCAACAAGTTAGGCTTAAAACATGAATTTGTTAAACAATAAAAGTCGTATCATAGCGAACACATACATATGTATATGATTACATGCATACATTGATCAAATGTATGTATGCTTATCATATAACTTACATCAAATATGTACATACATACTTAATATATACATAGAAAAAAGAGAAAAATAAAATTTTGTTCCACGTGTGACAAATTCGAATGGTGCCGAAATTAGAAGAAAAAAAAAAAGAGATTGTGTCATCGTAGCTTAAAGCTAAGAAACTCTCCAATTTGGCTGTAGCTGTGGCAGTAGTTGTGCCCAGCTTGCACCCCTCCACACAGCCCACAGCCATCTGTCTACGGCCCTCGGTTCTCGGCCCACAGCCCACAGCCCACAGCTGGCATTCATATTGGCGCTGTTGGCGTCGTCTCGTCGCATCCTTTTGTCAGTCAGTCGTTACAAATGGTTTGTAGTATATTTGTACTCGTGAACATACTTTATGTGTGTGTAGGTACATATGTACATATGTATGCTCGCGAACTAGGGAAAAATGAAGAAATGCACAAAATGTGCGCGCACACAACATACACATTTATACATGCATCAGTTGAGTTTCATACAAGTTGTTGAAAGTTGAATGTTGATTACACACACTATAAATTTTTATCAAACGATGATGATCCTATGCAGATCCTTTTTTAATTTCCTCTGCGATTTCATCTCTGCCTATGAGAGGCCCTGTGAGAGAGATCGAGCGAGATGGCCTCTTCTCCCTCTCTCTGTTATGACCAGACGACCTGAAAGTGTAATTGTTATGCTTCGGTAGAAATATTCCAGAACAGTCTATTCATTGTTATCTGCGAGAAGGATGTCAACTACACGAACTAACACGTGTGCAGGCCCGTGGACCTGCATACATATGTATATACATACATATTGACCAATGGTCTCGCTACGATACGGTCTCGCGACTTACATTTTGTTGCATACTTTCCACCGCGTTCTCAAATTCACTTGTGCATATGTGTTAGTGTGTCTTTGGTATTCGAAATTGGTTAGTAATATTACTCAGATTGTTGGCTAATGAATAGTTTTAGAAAGAGATACTGCTTATACTTGATACTGAAATCCATCTTATGCCTCTCCATTGCAGGCAGGGATCGCGGATGTGCAATGGCGAGTGCCGATTATTGAGCGAGTAGCCATCAACGCAGCACTAGCTACGCCAACTGCAGCAAAATAATCATGCAGTAGCCGCTGCATAAGCAGAGGTTGACGATGATGATTGAACTCATGCAACAGGAATTGGCTGTAAGGGAGTCGGCGGCAGGTGCAGTGAAGGACGTCAAATGTATCTACAATTGCTCCTGCTTTTGCTGTCGCCAGGGATGTTGCATTGTTGTGTGCTCCTGTTACAGCTGCAACACATTCAGCTGCACAAGCTACAACAACAGCAACAGCACCAGCAATGGCACCAACAGCAACATCAGCAGCAACATCAGAATCGACCGTAGAGGCATCAGTCGTCATCCGATAGTTGTTGTCAACACCGCCTGCCAATCGATAGTGGCTGCTCTAACGCTGATAATCGGCTACTTAACATTGTTCAAATTGAGCTACCGTGCCTTAAGGTCAAAAGCATCCACAGGCCTGGCTGCTGGCAGCGCAACAGACAGCAACTGCACCAGCACTGGCAGCAACAGCAACAGCAACAATGCTGACAGTAAACTGAAAGAGCAATATGGGCACGGTCACGCTTCCTATGATATTACCAATGATCAGCAGTTGAAGACGAATAACTTGTGCAAAATGTTTTTCAATAACCGGAGGAGGCAAAGGAGACGACGAAGGCGGCGTCGACGTCGCCGACGCCGCTACAATAACAACAATGGCAACAGACAGACCGGGAGCTGCAAGCAGCAGCAATACCACGATAGCAGTAGTGATGCCACGTGCCTTTCCATCGCGGTGTGGACAACAGTCGGGCAGGACGACGAGGACAGGAGCAGCAGTAACAGCAGGAGCAAACCATATAGAGCACACACTGTGGGCACTGCGTATGCGCCAACGCCGACCGTTGTTTCGAGGTGGCCTTCGATTAACTGCAGTAATAGCATCAGCAAGGCGAAGCGCAATCGGGCCAACCTCCTTTGGTTGCTAATCGGTATCTTTTGGCTAGAGGTCAAGCTCATCAACTGCAACGCTATCGCCAGCAGCAACGGTTACGTCTCCTCCCTAGTCGCTCCGAAGGGCTGCACCCTGTGCCAACTCGAGGAGGAGATCTTCTACAGCGAAAAGCGTGAGTTTGATAAATTGACGTTTCAGCACCACGATCGACTAAAAGAACCGAACGATACCAGTAACCCACAACACACTCAGATATAAAATGTGAAAAAGACTCTTTCTCTCTCACTCACTCTTTCTCAGCTTCCCATCCACCAATCGACCATTTCTTAATAGAGCAAGGGCAGGGGCGAGTTTGTTCCGGCAAACGTTGCATTGCCCTCTATATTATTTCTAGGTATTTTGAATTTTTGAGTGTTCGCTAGAAAATGTCGTGATTCTAGTGTTTCGCCATAAAGCAGGGAACGCAATGGCTCTGGTGGCGGGACCACTAATGGCAATGTCACTTTACCACTAAGGCAGCACAAACCGGGCGTTTCACCAGCAAACTTCAATGCGCCACAATGCTGGCAAACAACGTCCATTGGACCAATGCAAACTAAACGATTCAAGCTGTAATCAATGGTGCAATCATATCGAAACGCTGCTCGATTCAAATCAATCCTTGAACCATTTCTTATTGCCATTTCACGGGCTGCCTCTCTTTGAGAAGCACGAATTAAGGCCCTTCTTCCCTGGGTACTAACGCGGAGCCTTTCTCGGGCGATTTCTCGCTCTTCGTCAGATAATTGACTCGCGCTATTCCGTTGCCTAATTGCATTATGGGTCCGCCGGGAAAGATTAGATCTTCTAGGACGCGGCATTTTTATTAATAGTAATACTGCCCTCGCACAAAACCATATAAAACAATCGAGAAATATAAATATAAATAATTTACACAAATTTATGTTTGAGACAAACAAATACCTGAACTTTCGAGATATTTAGCTTTTGTAAAAGTCCAAAAATACAATTTTTAATAATTAACTTTTTTTTTTTNATAAAGGTGTAGGAGATATAATTTTATAAGTGGTTTTCGATAAGGTTTTTTATCGATAAAAAAAGATAGGGATGAGTTATCGATTTTTAATGATAAACTCGATATCCGCGCTGTAATTACGAACAAAATATTTGAAGTCTCTAGCTCTTATATCTTTGGAAATCGCCGCGTTCAAACATACGGACAGACGGACAGACGGACGGACGGACAGACAGACGGACAGGGCCAAATCAACTCAGCTCGTTGCCCTGATCAAGAATATATTCACTTTGTGGGGTCTGCCACGCCTCCTTCTCCCTGTTACATACATTTCAACAAAACCATTATACCCTGATTTTCCATTGAAAATGGGTTCAGGGTATAAAAACAAAATGTGCAACATAAATGCTCAAAACAGAACTTTGGCACTTGTTCGGCTGTGTGTGTCAATATTTCGAGATGTGTTATGAATAAATGCAAAATTAGTTTATATTAGTTAAATTTAAATTTATTTTAATTATTTTACATCGATTAGTTATAAAAAAAAATGTTATCAGAACATGCATTCATTGAATTTGCACTTTTTGGCTGTGGTTKACCTTTCTGGAGAAATGCCCATATATATATATATATATAACATTTTAAATCTCGAAGATCGATTGCATCCTTATCTTTCTTCTTTGGTTTGGCTACATTCCATTTGAATACAATGTATTTGCACACTTCTCATACAGCTWCTAATACTTACAAAAACACTTTACAATTATCACATTTACACAGATAACCCACACACAGAATACAACAACAACAACCATAATAACAACAACAATAATAATTTTGCCTATAAGAAAAGTATTCAGAGAACAAACAATAATATTATGGTCAGTGATCGTGTTCGCTTAGAGTCGATTAAACGACAAATCCTGACAAAACTCGGACTCACTCATAAACCAAATGTATCCCATCCGCTACCCAAACAGTTTATCTGGGAGACAATCTATCGAGCAGACGGCGGGCAAATGGTAACGAACGATGTATTCGAAAGAAACGCCATCTTGGCAAATCATATTCATGATCGTAGTCAGCGGAAGAGAATGCGAACCGTCATTAATGAGCTCAACGAGAATCGTTTCGACAGCCCAAGTATGGCATATATAATTGGTACTACAAACCGGAGCAGCAGTAAAAGTAAAAACAAAACGAAATACCATCACTTAAGATCCGACTCTTCAGAAACAGAAGGAGAAAGGGATAAGACAATCCATGGATCGGATACGCGAACAAGGATAGAGAACCGCAGCTCTCTCGACTGGAATAAGAACACGAAGTCAAAAGCTTATAGTGAATCAACATATCTTATAGATATAAATCGGAGTAGAGATAGTGATAGCACCAAAAACGACGTAAGCGGCGGTGCTGCCGCCGGCTTCGGTCACGACGATCATATATATTTTAACGATTACAGAGTGCAAATCCAAAACAAAGACCATAAGCAGAAGCAGAAACCATCAGGCAGTAATAATGCGCGAGTCAAAAAGAAGCAGAGCCGAGGAGGCCACGATTTCATCACTATGCACGATCAAGACAATGTCAATGGATTTGAGCGTGAAGACTACTTTGGCAGCACACAAGAGATAATTACGTTTGCTGAGGAAGGTAGGTATCAATTGATCTGCTTGTACTCTGTGTCGGCTGTTGCCGACTCCTTTCCTTTCCCTTTTGTGCACAAGGCTTCCCTAATAAGCTGTTGCCAACTTACAGTGCCAAATTAGCATAAGAGATTGATGGCTGTTGGAGATGTGTATCTCAGCGCGATAACTATTGATTAATTAATCAATCGATCGACCGCCGAGGAAATTCAGGTTGCAACATGGAAATAATTTTGTACATAATATGCATAATGTAATATTTGAAATATTATTATACAATGGAGGACAAAAGTATTTTGACAACGCATTGAAAAAACTCTAACCGCTTATTTCTGCGTGTTGAGAGAGGTAACGGTACCCATTATATTTTTCAGAGAGAGCAAACATAAAAAGCTATAAATGACCAAAATATTGCAGTGATAACATAACTCATTATTTTTCTATAATTATATGCATGGCAGATTGTCATTAATTGGGTGGACAAAAGTATTTTGACATTAATATTTATTAAATAAAGTGAGACAAAAACTTAACAATGGAAACAGTAACTAAAATATTAATAAGAATTAAACCCTGCTTTAATATCTGCAAGCGTCTAGAGATCGATCTAACCAAATTTTGTAATGTTTCTATTGAAAAATCCTGCTAAGGTCCTCAAACCTCAGCAATCCGTCTCCTTGGGCGTTCTTGATAAGTCTAAGCTACGTTTTACTTTTGCGTAAGCCTACACATTCTCTATAATATTGAGATCAGAGCGCTGAGGTGGCNTAACTGAATTTTCTGGGAATATTGAAGTCAATACATATGATTGGCCACCTCAGCGCTCTGATCTCAATATTATAGAGAATGTGTAGGCTTACGCAAAAGTAAAACGTAGCTTAGACTTATCAAGAACGCCCAAGGAGACGGATTGCTGAGGTTTGAGGACCTTAGCAGGATTTTTCAATAGAAACATTACAAAATTTGGTTAGATCGATCCCTAGACGCTTGCAGATAGTAAAGGAGGGTTTAATTCTAATTAATATTTTAGTTACTATTACCATTGTTAAGTTTTTGTCTCACTTTATTTAATAAATATTAATGTCAAAATACTTTTGTCCACCCAAATAATGACAATCTGCCATGCATATAATTATAGAAAAATAATGAGTTATGTTATCACTGCAATATTTTGGTCATTTATAGCTTTTTATGTTTGCTCTCTCTGAAAAATATAATGGGTACCGTTACCTCTCTCARCRCGCAKAAAWAMGCGGTTARARTKTTTGCAAYGCGTTGTCAAAATACTTTTGTCCTCCATTGTATTGGTTTTATGCGATTTATCATCATTTCATATAGAAGACACTCACTTTACCCAAAATGAAAACATATTTTTTAGAAAGATCGAGAATTGAATTTTCGTAGTTAGTAACCGATTGTCGATAATGTATGTATCAGTGTACGTATGGCTGCAGCCAGGCCAGCCAGATGGCCCTCACCACTCGCCTCCCCTTCTACTTAAACAATTTTTTGAAAAAAAAAAAAACAAAAAACAAAAAAAAATAAATAAACACAATAAACTACACCAGACGTGAGTGTGTGTGTTGCATGATATGCATACGCATTTGTGTGTGCTTGTGTATATTCATTGAAGCAATGCATGCAAATGTTAACGGTAAATAATACCGTATGGTAAGCCTCGCATGTCAATGAAAAAAGGAGGCGCAGAAGGAGAGCCGAATGGCTGTGTATACGCCCACAAACACCCACATCCATACCCACAGCCACACACACACTTACGAATATGTATGCCCATATGCGTAGACAGACACCTTGTCGTAAGTACAATACTAGAATAGGGCATAAGCGGGCTCAAGTGTCTCTGCTACAGTCTTCTCGTTGGAGCCGGCTCACATGCAGACCCCTGTGGACTCGTACGCAGGCACACACAGATACACGTGTGCCGCTCCCATTGTGTGTGTTTTGGTTTTGTCTGGTCGACGGGACTCCCGATCCGACCCCAGACTGTTTGCATACACACGCGAACACACACACACTTGCGTAGAAGTAATGCGCTGGCGTCTGAGTGGTTCTTGCAGACTGCAACGGTGAAGTACTTTCACTATTGTTCTTAGGTGTGAAACAAGAGCAACAGACAGGGTAAACAATTAAAAATGCAAAACGATGAAAACATACATACGTACATATGTACGTGGAACGAAAGTACTCTCTAGTCGGCATTTAGCCTCCGCCAGACAATGTTTTTAATGCACGCTCGACCAGTCCAGCACCGGGTATATTGACTAATGTTTTTCAGCTCAAAATATGTACATGCATATGTACATAGGTATATGCGCCGAGGCACTGGCTAATCGGCTTAGTTAGACACTCTTCAAACGCCAGCTGGGCCCTCTCGAGTATATTAGTATTATATATGTATGTCTATAACAAATCATCTCTGTGTATTATACACTGCGCATATTGATCTCCTTAATTATACCCTGAATCCATTTTCAATGGCAAATCAGGGTATAATGGTTTTGTTGAAATGTATATAGCAGGTAGAAGGAGGTGATCAGGGTGACGAGCTGAGTCGATTTGGCCCTGTCCGTCCGTCCGTATGTATAAACGCGTCGATTTCAGAAGATATCAGAGCTAGAGACTTCAATTTTTAATGTATGCTTATATATATACATATATACTGAACTGGATATATATATATATTCATGTTATAATCACAATCTAAAAGTTTTATGATGATCGTATGTCCACAAAAAAAGGTATTAAACAATTCAGTTCTCATAGTAAGCGCACACTGCAGCCCATGCGTGTTTATGCTTGTGTGTGTATGTGTTTGTGTATGTGTGTGTGTATGCGTGTGTCTGTGTGTGCGTGTTTCTTGTGTAAACTGAAAGACGCGAAAAATTATTGAAATAGCTATTACTCCAAAGGTTCAGGGGATCTCGTAGTCGAGTAGTCTCGACTAGAGCTTTCTTACTTGTTTTATTTCAATTTTCAACTTCAATTTATTTCACTCTTTGTTATAATTACATGATGTTGTGAATGGTATTTTACAATGTTTGAAGAGTTTAGGCATATTCCTTTTCTGATAAGCTATTGATTTACATACATGACATATGGATATGCGATAACATTATTATTTGGGGGGAAAAACAAAGAAATAGAAACCCCCATGAAAATTTACTACAAACTAAATTAAATAAAACAAGTAAGAAAGCTCCAGTCGAGACTGCTCGACTAGGAGATACCCTGAACCCTCCAAGCTGATATTCTAATCATTCTGCACTTCTTTTATGCACACATACATACACATGCATCCACACGCACGCATAAGCCTGCGCTCTGCTAACTGCGCAGTAAGCAGCGACTGCGCTTGGGCTGCGCTGCAGTGTGGGCAATATTATGAGAATTTATTTGTTAAATAATTTCTTTTGTAGACATACGATCTTAATGAAACTTTTAGAGCGTAATCATATGGTGAATATGTGTGTATATTCCAAAGCCCAAGTCTCTAGTATTTGAAATACGCTTTTTACAAAAGTGAGGGTGAGGGGGTGAATTTAAGGGTGGGGGGTAAATTTTAACAAAAACCGAAATTGTATAAATTGCATATAAGCATACATTAAAAATTTGGAGACTCTAGCAATAAGGGTGTAGAAGATATAATTTTATAACTGGTTTTCGATAAGGTTTTTTATCGATAAAAAAAGATCGGGATGAGTTATCGATTTTTAATGATAAACTTGATATGCGCGCTGTAATTACGGACATTTTAAAAAAAATTTGAAGTCTCTAGCTCTTATATCTTCTGAAATCGACGCGTTCATACATACGGACGGACGGACGGACGGACGGACGGACGGACGGACGGACGGACGGACAGACAGACGGACAGGGCCAAATCNGTTTCTTGTGTAAACTGAAAGACGCGAAAAATTATTGAAATAGCTATTACTCCAAAGGTTCAGGGGATCTCGTAGTCGAGTAGTCTCGACTAGAGCTTTCTTACTTGTTTTATTTCAATTTTCAACTTCAATTTATTTCACTCTTTGTTATAATTACATGATGTTGTGAATGGTATTTTACAATGTTTGAAGAGTTTAGGCATATTCCTTTTCTGATAAGCTATTGATTTACATACATGACATATGGATATGCGATAACATTATTATTTGGGGGGAAAAACAAAGAAATAGAAACCCCCATGAAAATTTACTACAAACTAAATTAAATAAAACAAGTAAGAAAGCTCCAGTCGAGACTGCTCGACTAGGAGATACCCTGAACCCTCCAAGCTGATATTCTAATCATTCTGCACTTCTTTTATGCACACATACATACACATGCATCCACACGCACGCATAAGCCTGCGCTCTGCTAACTGCGCAGTAAGCAGCGACTGCGCTTGGGCTGTGCTGCAGTGTGGGCAATATTATGAGAATTTATTTGTCGAATAATTTCTTTTGTAGACATACGATCTCAATGAAAAATCATATGGTGAATATGTGTGTAGATTCCAAAGCACAAGTCTCTAGTACTTGAAATGCGTTTTTTACAAATTGGGGGAGAAAGGGGCGTGGTATCCAAAATCTGTAAATTACAAATGACAGACGGACAGGGCTATATCGACTCGTCACGCTCGTCACGCTGATCAAGAATATATATACTTTGTGGGGTCTGCCACGCCTCTTTCTGCCCGTTACATACTTTTTCACAAAACCATTATACCCTGATTTCCCACTTTCAATGGGTTCAGGGTATAATTAAATACTAAACGCTAAAAACTACAAGTCTATGCCAGGTCGTTTATATGTGAATATGATGATTCCTGACACTTAGTTATACATTTTTGCGATAGTCGGGATAGTCTAATATCTACCAGTTCAGTATTGGCTCGACAATGTAAATCAATCATGGAATGATGTCATGGAAGATTAAAGATAAGCTTCAGGACTTTATTTTGCCGCTCCAAGAGGGGCCGACATTCAAATAGCTGAAATAACTCCTCCATACTTTCCTGGGATTATGCTCCATGCGTCCCGTCCCTATGTCCAAATGAGCGCAAGCCATATCGCCGCTATTGGAGCTAAAGGCTTGGGATTTGGAGTATGTACTTGTGTATTCCCTCGCCTGATAAAATTTAAGGTTATTGCACTGGCCGTGTATGAGTATTCCACAGTGGGTAGGTGTGTGCATTCAAGCAACCTGCAATGAATGAAGGAATGGGGCATTAGGATTCTACTGGTCGGGCATTTTTTACTAGAGTATTAGCCCGTTTCTAACTTGAGGTCATCTGATATTGCACAGGTGCACAATTTCGGCAATATCGCATAGTGGAGTTCGCCGCGCAAAAAGCGGGTATACCAAATCAAAAGATATACATTAGGAGTGCGCAAATGCATGTTCGCATCGAGAGACAGGATGTGAAAAGCGAAGCTGTGAACCGCGATGCGCAACCGACGACTACGCGGAAAAGTCACGCCAACGTTCCTAGGCAGAGGATAAAGATTTGGGTATTTCGAATGAGCGACGGCATCAATATGACTGAGATGGTGAGTTTCCGTACATCCGCTGTATACCTGTTGATTATATTTCTTACAAGCAGGCAATGGATCAGGCGTTTCTGTTTCGTGCTCTGTTCGAAGTGGACACGGAGCGCTTGGGTTGGCAGAGATTCGATCTTACTGAGACGATTCGGGAATGGTACAGCGATACGAGCGGGGAGAATCTACGTCTCTTGATAGACTGCACTGGCTGCGGCAGTAAATATTCACTGCAACTGTTTCAGCTATCCGGGCCAGTGAAATCGGCATCGGATCGCTACTTGAATCCGAACCGTCCATTTCTCGTCCTACACACGGAGTCGCCAAGACCTCGCCGCGTCCGGCGACGTGCAATCGATTGCGGTGGCGCATTAAGCGGCCAATGCTGCAAGGAATCCTTTTACGTATCCTTCAAAGCGCTTGGCTGGGATGACTGGATTATAGCGCCTCGTGGATACTTTGCCAACTATTGTCGGGGCGAATGTACTGGATCATTCCGCACCCCAGACACGTTTCAAACATTTCACGCACATTTCATCGAAGAATATCGCAAAATGGGCTTATTGAATGGAATGCGCCCCTGCTGTGCTCCGATCAAGTTCTCAAGCATGTCCTTAATCTACTATGGCGACGATGGTATTATCAAACGTGATTTACCGAAGATGGTTGTCGACGAATGTGGATGTCCTTAATTGTGAGTAAAATATGTACATACATACTTGAGCACCCATTGAACGTGATGGTTAGCAAATGCGTGGTCTATGGACCTTTTCCGATCGATGTGAGCTGATTTCTAAAGCGCTGGAGCTGATACCCTTCACTATTTAATTATCAGGTAAAGCATCAAATAAATCGACTTCTTACGACAGGTTCTTGAATAACGCCTCGACCAAAATACATCAAAAACTAAAGAGAAACAGTTACACAAAAAATGAGTTGGTATATCTAATACGTTCATGACATCGAAACTGAGCACTTTCGCTAAAAGACTATATCGCTAGGATGTTTACAGTCGATTCCTGGTTCGATGTTGCACTTAGACTTAAATGTCAATCATGAAAGGTGACAAGGAACCTGTAGAACATTTATAGCCGACGTACGTGCACATATACCCGCATGGAATTCAGTTCCCTAAAGTCTCTTTTGGCAGAGAGTCAGGAAATCAAGACAAGATTGAGTAAGATCGTCGTGCCACGCCTCCTACCTGTAGGTCCTTGTCCGTATACATTTGCACAAGCCCATTTTACTCTGAACTCCCATTTAGAGCAATGCAAACATTCTATTTTACACCTTATTTCATTTTGATTTTCAGTTGAAACGGATGTTAGCCGAAAAAAGAGAAGAAGTAAAATAAAACTGAACTGGACTGGAACTACTAAGCCAAACTATTTATTTCCGTCCTTTGACATACCTTAATACATTCAAAAAAGGGAGCTACAAATAGGCTACCAAGTAATTCTGTTGTGCCATGGGACTGAGGCATGAGATTAAGATTGAGAATGAATTTATGTAGTCAAAAATAAAAATTAAAAAAGAACTAAAATAAAGTTTACAAAAAGTGCCTAAAATATTTAAAAATTGCCTAATTAAATTGAAATGATTTTTAAGATTAAGTAATTTAGTAACAACAATTATTATAGTAACTATGATAATCTAATAATTTCAATATACAACAACAATAAAAAAAGTGTCTTTATCAAAATATTCCCTTGGAATATAGAGCTGTGCTGTAGCGTAGCCAGAGGGAAAAGAGGAACCAGAGTGAGGGATGTCAGATAGGGTCTGCAATATTCCAGGTGCGCCTATTCCAATATTCAAACCACGAATATATAAAGATATCAAATTAGATCCGATTGCAAAATATTTATTTATTTAATATTATTTCAAAGGAATTTATGCTTGTATTTACATCTGCATAAAAGGAAACACACGCAAGTAAAGTTAAACACAAGTTACATATATCTAAATTTCTATAGTATAATATATTTACATAATTGTATTTATATAAAATTAAATTTGTCCGCTCTTACGCATATATTTATTATTTATTTTTGCAAATTTCTCGGAATAGGCGCAGAAAAACGTTCGGGTTGCCGTATAGTAAAATAGTTAGGAATGGTGATTTTTATACTTCACATATTTATATTCAATTATTTATTGATTAAAATAATCAAAAATAAGAGTATTTATGCAGAGATACAAATTTATATACTACATACATATATATAAAACATAATGCATATTAAAATACAAATTTTGATAATGTAAGCTAAAATTTGAAAACACTAGCTAGAAAATGGTTAAGTTCTAATAATCATATTGTACATTACATATATACATATATTCCAATTACATCCTGTTGCTCAGAACCAAAATGCCGTTAAAAATATTTAAACAATAAAGAACAATAGGCAACATTTGTTAATATGTCTTTAAATTTGTAAGGATTGATAATAATTATAATAATAATCTAAATAATAACAATAATTATAACAAAAATGATAATAAATTCAATTTTTAAGATTTAAGCAACATCTATAATTTCTTTAGACTTTCAGCTAGCCGTGTCTTTCTATCCATCAATTCTGTTTTAATAACACAATGTACATTTGTATGTATATGTAGACACTCGATGACAGTAGGACAGGAGAATGCAGTTAGCAGAGCGCGTTGTTATACGCGCGTCTTTATGAATGTGTATGTATGTGTGCATAGAAGAAGTGCAGAATGATTAGAATATCAGCTTAGAGGGTTCAGGGTATCTCCTAGTCGAGCAGTCTCGACTGGAGCCTTCTTACTTGTTAATTTAGTGCTTCTACGCTCCAGATTCTGGAAGATTTGGCCAAGTACGTTTATATATTCCAAATTGTAAATCTGTTGTGCTATACGTATCTGCGGATTCGCTACGCCTTAACGCAGATAACAAAAGAACATTGCACAACATTAATATATTCCACTTACTTCGTGCACGAGCATCAAAAGCAATAATAGTACTCTACACCGAAGTGTCAGATTAACAGATAAGCGCCTTCCATATATGCTCACTTATATACAGTACCACGCATACATACGTAAACGATGCCCCACCTCCCACCACCCCTATTTTGGGGAACTATTTAAGTTGATTGAACTTTGGAAATTTCTAGAAGCACTAATGGGTCTTTCAATTTATAAGCGCGGCACAGAAGTATATGTACATACGTATAAAAGTCCAACGACTTCTATTTTAAAGGGGCTTATGAACTCTTATTTTAGATGCAGGCTTTTTWAAATCTAAAATAACGTCATCTGTGCATTCAATATAGGACACTAGATTGAATCAAAAAATCAGAGAGAAAGAGATAGAGAGAGGAGAGAGAAAAAAAGGGGAAAATAGGGAGAGAAAAGAAACATAGTCAGACCTACTGAGGGCGTAGCAAATCTGAAAAAAAAAATAAGAGAGCTCTAGTCGAGACTGCTCGACTTGGAGATACCCTGAACCCTCCAAGCTGAGATTCTAATAATTGTGCACTTCTAATGCACACATACATATGTACATAGACATGCATCCACACGCACGTATACGCACGCGATCTGCTAACTGCGCAGTAAGCAGCGACTGCGCTTGGGCTGCACTGCAATGTGGGCAATACTATGACAACTTATTAGTTAAATAATTTCTCTTGTAGTAGGACTATCTTCATGAAGCTTTTTGAACGTGATCAAAAGGTTAGAATATGTGTACATTCCAAAGCAAAAGTCTCTAGTACTTGAAATTCGGTTTTTAACAAATTATGAGCAAGGAGGCGTGATATCCAAAATCTGTACATTACAAAATCTATGATAAACTTGTACTGTGTATGGTATACACGAATATGCATACTAAATTTCAAGTTTTAGCTATTATAACTGCTGAGATCTAGGTGTTTATATTGAACTGATTTCTTGATTTCCTATTTTCAATGGATTCAGGGAATAAAACAACAGAATATTTTGAGCGTTGAATGTAATTGGCAGGATCTGCGCCGTGCGCGAGTATTTTGCAGTCGGTGTCGCCCTATTGCAACATTCTAATTCGCTTGAAGCTCCCGGTCATGGGAATACCGATATCGATAGCGATGCCGATACTAATAGTGATAGCGATAAGGAAAGCTAAACCATTACATTAGACGATGTCAAGACCTCAACGTCCTTTATCTATTCTGGATGGATGATCTACACATATCCTCATTGTGTATGCACAGCTGTACCCACACATTCTTCTAAATTTTACAAAGTCGCGAAATTCGGAATGGATTCGAAAACGTATAGGAAGAATTTCGAAGCGATATTCTCTCTTACGAACTGTAATTTTTTCTGTCGGGTATTGAGCAACGGGAATATGTGTTGCTGCTTATCGAGCCGTTTTGCTTTCGAGCAACTTTTAATTAAAGATTAAAGTTTCTTATCAGCCATTAGCTGCAGTTCATATACTCGAGCATACACAACATACGTAAACATGTCTTTATTGGTACATCCACACAAGTATGTAGTGGTGCTTACAGATATAGATTGGATGGAAAGATTTTACTTTTCAGGTTTTCTTTTACCTCCCCGAGCCAGCGAAGGAATTGTTCAACTGGTTCCCAAAGGGGCTATAGCCTTGGATTTTGGTAAATAACAGGAATGTTCGATAATACACACATATGTATGTATATACAAGTGACTCAAAAATACATTCTCCAACGTATGTGCAGGGGGTCCCAGACGGAGCAAAGCGCCGAGCTCTGCATGTGTGTGTAGACTGAGAGAAAATCATTTGACAATCGTTTGACTGACAGTCTTGCACATTTGTTTAGAGCATGACCTTGGGCGAGCATCATAGACCTTTGCATAATTTGTAGCTAATAGCAGAATACCACTTGATAATGAAGCCTCAGATATCAAATGCCCGTACGTTATTATACTGACCTTTGACATTTTCTGTCAGTGTACATATACATATTGTATGTATATTGCTACGCATTTTATCTCATCGTCGGCTTGATACTAGATCACTCTCACTTGCTTAACACACATACGTATGCACATGTGTGTACAGTGTACACGTACACGTATGCATTCACAAGTCCACACATAAGAACACAGGAACTCGAGAATGCGCCAAGTCCTCTTCTGATAATAGAAAATTCATAGCAGCAGGGGCCAACGGCAGCGGCAGCACCCACCCTTATGTTGTGTGCTTGAAAATTGATATATGTTTGTATATTATAATTGAGAACGAGCGCCAACCGTGTGAGAGAGCTGTGAGGCTGCCCCTCTCTCTACCTTGCTCTTTCCCACGGAAGAATATAAGGCACGCACACTGCAAGAGAGAGGAGCACTAGTGATAAGTAAGTGTCCTCACTCACTCTCTCCTTCTGTCAGTATAAAGAAAGATGCACTCACACACACACACGTATAATATAGATATATGCTATACACACACAGCCACGATAGACGTTGTATTTAAACTGAGTTCTAGTGGAAAATACGGCTTAATTCGAAGTCACTTGTCGTCCGATCCGATTCGTATATTAAATCAGTGTCGCGAGCTAAGTGTGCTGTGCTGGAATTGTGTCTCTCTATGAACGCAATTCAGTGAAAGGAATTTAAATCAGATTTCAACTGTGAGCAAGGTATACAAGATCTTGTCCTGCCCATGGGCGTACAGCAACAACGACAACGAGAACAACAATGAAATGAATTTAATTCAATTAAATAAAATACAACTAAAATAATTATATATAACTAAATCAAGAATATATAAGTACATTGATAACAAACAAATAAATATACACGGTAATTGAACTCACCAGATTCAAAATACATAATAATAAAGTTAAAATTATATAAATTATA